GAAATTGAATAACTGGTCTATTTTGGCTGGTTCTTCCAACTTACAGCCTAACTTACATGCTTGCTGCGTAAGAATTTAAACCAAAAAAGAAGCATTACGACTTTTTCTTCAGGTGCCAAAGCAACAAGATTCCCATCAGAAACTTACCCTCTTCAACTCCCTCCTTCCTTCTCCAGCAAGATGTTCCAACTTCCTTCATCTTCTTAGTCTATAATCCTTAATGGACTGAATAAATTGGGTATAATTGTTTATGTTCCCGCAAGAACTACACTAAGACCTGAAGCAGTCAGTGTACTTCAAACATCTTTCTGGAATTCCATTCTGGAGGAAATTTGCCTCAGTGACTTAGTTTTGAGCACACTTTACTCAGCTTCAGCGTTAAAACACCTACTTCCTCAATCCCACTGCTTGCCTGAACCCTTACCAACTTCCAGCTTCAACGTTACTGTCACTGAACACCGTCTCACTGAACCTGGCCTTGATCCACAGTACCCACTTGCCTCTGAACTCCTACTATTTATCCTTATATGACCTCCTAAACTAAACTAAAAGCGTTTATTTGCTGCTTATGCAGAAATAAGACCAAATAATTTTTCTTCAGTATCAATTTCTTTCTCTGACATTAAAGAATGTCTCACGAGCATAGGGTTACTTGAGCAGAGCTAAGTAACTATAGACTCCAGAGACAACGCAGGGTTGGATGAGGTAATTTTACTGTTTTCTTGACTGCGCCATAGATAAAATATTACTCAGCATTCAAAATGCAAAAAGAAGAAGGCTTCTTAAACTGATTAACTATGAAAGTGCTAACAGAACTTTTAGGGTTTTGGATATGCCTAGAACTCAACGTAAAGTAAAAAAAAAATTACTGAAAATGAGACATACTATTGTTTATGTTTGCTAAAATTTCTTTAAATGTTAAAGAATTTACAAGCTTTGGACTAAAATATACCTCATTATTATTTCTCATATGTGTGCCTATACATTAAAGGCTACGCCTCCTTCACCTAAAATGAACAACCCAACTGGAATAAAAGAATGGCTCTCTACTACCCAAGATATACTGTTCATTATGTTAGTGAGAGAAAATTAAAGAGAACATGCTTTCAATGTTGATGACAAGTTAAGGAACACAGGTTACAGCAAAGTATAAAGAAGAAAATCCACCAAAGGGAATACTACTTCAATCTTTGATTCAACAGTTTTGCAGACAGGCAGGATCTCATCCTGTCCTATGGCCTGTACTCCGAGTTACACACAACTGACAACATCAACAGCTAACTTAGTTTCTGAACTGCATTTTCCTGGGTATCTCCTTTCAGTTTTACGTCCCATATACTCTAACTACCATTAACTATAACAGATTTTTGAGGAACTATATCATACAGCTAAAATCACCTAAGTTTGAACCTGTCCAAACCACTCCCTAACAATGGGGGCCACAATGCTGCTATAAAATGCTTCAGCCTACATTGTGTTGTTCTGAGGGCAGGCTGTCCTTCCTGGCTTAATTTATAACCTTTCAGAGATGGTATCTGCTCCCATTAAAGGTGTATGCAACTAAGAGATATGGAACTCTTCCAAGTACCTTCTCTACAACTTCCCTAATTTCTAAATTTGGGATGTTATCTAAATCCATACCTCAGATTTTGTTCAATTGCTATTCTCAGCATTTTTTACGCCTTTCTGAGATCAGGACCATAAACTTACAATGAAACTGTTGTGGACAAGAGGGTTTTCACTAAGAGACATTCATGCAATTAACCTAACCCAACAAAAATGACCACAGTCTGTGTGAGGCCACTGGGTTCCTCTAACAATTGCACTGACAATTCTCAAACTTTTTCTTAAAATCTCCTGTACAACTTCTCCTGCTATTAAATAGATTATGTTCAGGGAAACACTCTCTCCCCCCCTTTATTAATGCTAACAATTAAAACAGAAAGGTATTTAAAGAATGTAATGAATCTGAGATAAAATACTAATAACTGAGATCTACTTATGGGCCCTCCTTTCTAAAAAACTTAAAATATATTTTTAACATTATTTGACTATAACATAGGAAATTATTTGGCTTCCCATATAACAAATTAGAGATTTAACTTGAGGCAAAAAAGGTTAAGTGACTTACCCAAGGTTACAATTAGAGGTACAGCTGGGGCTAGAAACCAGGTCTCCTGAGTCTCAGCCCAGTGATCTTTTCCTTAGCCCATGATGCCTTATCAGAAAAATCCAAATACAGTCAGACCCCCAGTTATATGGGTATGAGTTACACTGATTCACATATACAAACTTTATATAGTGTGACCAATGTTTCAACTCACGCGGTACCCTGCTTCCATTTATGCAGTATGCCAGGCATCGGCACGATTTTCAGTGGCACACAGGCGGTTGCCACCACCAGGGCCCTAGGCAAAATTGCAAAGAAGGCAAAGTTTGTCTTTGGCCCTCCCACTTCCCTTATGCATTCCTCTCCCACCTCCTTGTAATCCCCCTGCCCGGCCTCCCAGCACCATCATGCTGCCCCTCTGATTGTTCAAAGCCCCCCACTTCCACCACTCACCCAAGACTGTCCTGTCTCCAAGTGCCCAGTGCCCAAAATTACCTCTCCATTTCCCTGCTACCGAAATTTCTATTCCTTAAGATTCCAATGAGGTTTAGGTAATCTAAATGATTGAGTGAAGCCAATAATTCAAGAGAAGGTACATTTAACTAAGGCTTAACGCTCCAAGGAGTTAAAAAAGGAACGAATAACTGTTGGTGTCACTCAGACCCTTCACATACAAGGACCCTAAGGACTGAAGAAGGCAGTGCTACCTTGAGCCCTGCTATCCAAAAAGACAGTTTCTGGGATATAAGACAAAACAAAAACAAAAACAAAAACAAAACAAAACAAAAAAACAAAAACCAGAGCTGCCTACATATCCTCTCCTACCTACCTACCTACCTGCCTATCTTTTCCATCTCTCTCCCACCTCCTGGATCCCCATTTCCACCTCTAGTGCCAAAGACACGCAACAGCATTCCTCATAAGCTGTTTTTGTGTCCAAGACAAGCCTTCCCACTACATAGCTTTAAATTACATGCTGCTACTCAGAGACATATCCATGTTCCCCTGTCCCTGGGTAACTTGAAGTTGACTATATGCTAAAAAAGAACAATCCTAATTATTTAAAAGTCCTGAGTCATAAAATGAAGTATGTAAACTCATTAGATACTGGCAAGGAGGAAAAAAATGTTCTAATCCTATCTTGTATATGTAAAAACTAATTTGGCTATCTAAAAAATTATTCAATTCTTTTCCTTGAAAGAGATGTGTTTCTTACTTCTGACCGAATACAGCAGTGAAAATCCAGTCATTTCAGCTAAATAATATCGTGCACTTGTAAACATGAGTTCATTCATAAATCCTCTGTCTGGAGGCAAAAAAAAAAAAAAAATCCAGTAACAGACACATAAAAATATATAAATTTATTTGCATACAGAGTGGATTTTAAGAAATCCACAGTTTGCTGACTACACACACAAGAACTTTTTTTCTTTTAACTTAGCCTTACAATACTAGATGGGGCTGTCTGGTTCAGAAATTTTATCAGTTGATGGCTACCTTGATCCAATTAAAACACCCAGTAAAATTTCGAAAATTCAATTCATGCAGAAGACACCAATGGTATCCATCAAGGATTAAAGGATCATGTAAAGTAAGTCTTAAATGATTTCTAAAATTACAAAGATTGGTTTAGATCCTTGATGAAGCCCCTTCCCAGTACCTCTCACGTTGGAAAAGGAGCAATGTTAACACATGTTTGAGTGATAAAGTAACCATTCTTACCTAAATATGAAAAATGGTAACAAAAGTTTCTCCAGTGGCATTTTAAATTAACTTGGTTTACAAAACAAAATAACTCATTTTTTTCCAATCTTTCCCTCCACTTCCACACAACCACAAGTCGGTTTGCCATCACCATCTACACCTGTTTATGGTCTACAAAGAAAGTTCCCAATGGGGGTGTCTGTTAAAACTGAGCTGTGAACACTGAAATGCCATTAATTTGAATACCATTATTTTTAACCTACTCACACATTTTGCTGCAAAGTACTCAAGTGCATTATAAGAGCGACTGCTACAAACTAAATTTAAGAGTGGGCCATTTCTCTAGTCAGGCAATTCAAATTACTCGTCAAGAAAAAGCTCTCAGCCTCCACAAGCCACCTATGAAAACAAGCCAGGATGCCGCTTTGCTTTGAAGGGAGAAAGGCCTGAGCTGCACCTCTCCTCCGTGTTAGTGTCAATTTCGGCTGCACCGGAGTCGTTCCTAACTATCAGCAGCAACACCGCGTGTCTTCAGTCCAAGCTCTCCGTGACGGAGGCGACCCGGCGCTCGCTGGGTTTCCAGCCTCTGCCTCGAGTCCCTCGGGGGCTTTGTTCCCCTCGAGGCTGCCTCCCTGGGGCCGAATTCTCAGGACGGTTCTCTGCGGGGCACACGCGAGCTAGGCCGGCATGCACTGCACAAAGCCTCTGGTACGTCGTCTAACAAGATGGTGGTCTCCACAGAACAGGCCGTAACAATTTCCCCCACAAAATGGGGCCAAACACTCCCACCGCAACAAACATGGTTTGGGTCAGATTCTCCGTCCACGGGGCGGGCCGTGCGGGGCTCGCGCGGGCGGCGGCGGAGCTCGGGGCCGAGGCCTCGCGACAGCCCCCGGGAGGACGTGGGCTCCCCGGCCCGGCCAAGTCCACGGGAACAGCACAAACTCTCCTTTCTGCCTCAGGCCCCGCCTCACCCCATTGGCAGCAGTTCCCGCCAATCCGCTCCGTCACCACCCCCCGAGCCCGCCTGCCAGGCCCTGATTGGACGGGACGGGAGCCGGGGACCTCGTGGTACCAATCTGGGAGCCCCTTCCTCAGCCCCGCGCGCGCGCCCAGGTGCGCCCTCGAGCCCCTGCCCTCGCCGGCCGCCCCCTCCCCCACCCCCAGGGCTCCGGCCGAGACTTACCGTCCCGGGAGGTGCCCATCAGCTGGTCCAGCATGGCGCGCATCTGGGCCTGCGCCGACATGGCGGCGGCGGCGGCGGCGGGGCGCGGGCGGCCGGGCGGGGGTGGGGCGCAGGCCGGGCCCTTCCGGGCGGGGGGCTGAGGGAAAGGGGCAGGGGGCGGCGCGGCGCTGCCTCGAGGCGAGCGGAACGGGAGCCGGAGGGGCTGCGGCAGAGTCCAGGCTGCGCTGCTCACGACGCCGCGGACGTGGAGGACGGCAGCCCCGCCAGCGACCCTCGCGCCCTCACTCTCCGTCCGGTCCCCGGCACAGAAGCGACGCGGGCAGAGCAAGCGCTCGCCTCCGACACGGCCACCCGCCAGAAGCCGTCAGCCCCCCCTCCGAGCTCTGACGCCGCTCGCCGCCACCGTCGCCGCGACGGGAGCGCGCACGCCGCCCGCGCACAGTCGTTTCCCGCGGAGGCTCCGCCAACCGGCGCCCAACTGT